TCACCATGGCGCCCTCTTGCAGATCTTGACGGATGAAACCGAGTCATTCTTCCTCGCCCTTCCTCTCTGACTCTTCTCTTGGACAATATACTGACGTGCATCAAAAATAGGGGCGATGAAGTTTGTGGTATGTCCTCTCTCCACGGCAACGCCGTCCTCTATCCTTCCTTTGCTCTTGGAGAGTCGATCATCGCCCATTCATCCACGCCGGGCAGGGGTGCGTGCTTCTGCTGTGTCTGTCTGCTGCCACGGAAATGGGATTGTGTCTCCAACTCCACTCTAACTCCAAGCACCTGGAATTGGGACTGGCATGGGGGTGTATGGCAAGGAAATTTGGCCCGCCCAGTCTCCCTGTTCACCCTCTCCTCTCAGAGCCAGAGAGCATAGAGCAAGCCAAAGCATCGATCACAGACACAGCAGCAGCAGCAACCCTTCCCCATGTGGCGGTTGATGCGGTTATTCTCTCAGCTTTCTTTTCTCTTTTGCCTTTACTACCCTGCACTTCCGTTCTAGACTTTGGAGCTAACATGTGTCTCATCGTAGGCGAATGCAAGCCTTCAGCACCGATCGTGTGGGAGAGCATGATCAGACGCAATAACACGCCAGTCGGATTATAAGGTCATCGTCGAACCAAACCGACGAGACCCTTTTTCATCATTCCCTTCATCCACCATTTTTTAGACAACATTCCGATCCAGAAAGGCCCACGCCCGGGGTGCAGATCCAGTCTGCAGCACGTTCTCTCTATCACATCTCACATTCTACCACGACCGCTTTGGCTCTGTCCCTCCAGCCTTTTGGGACAAAGTACAACACCAAAGAGATGAGATGAGAGAAAGATTGTGCAAGACAATTTCGTCAAAGCTTTCGCCTATACCAAATTTTTTTTTTTTTTTTCATCTTCAACGATTGTTTGATACTTGGCAACCTCAAGCAAGCGCCGCGTCACACAGCCACACAAACAATACGCCAAGCATGGCCCTAGTCAAAGGGAGCGGTGGCCAGGTTCGAGAGACGACAATTACACGGTACCGGTGTATTTGGCTCCGGGGCCATCACCAACCTTGGCTTGGGCACATCGACGATGCTGCATCGCGCTAAGGCAGCCTTCCGCGACATTTTGTCCATATGGACGGGCCCTTTCACCAAGAAACCGACGCCGTCTCCAATTTGAATTCCCGTCTGCATGGCTTCGACGGGACCGATGGAGGGATGATGGCTGCACACACGCAGTAAGAGGGGGACGGATGAGGGGTCTCGACCATGCTGATCCCACATGATGAGCCAAGCAACACATTTGCATGGCTCACGCTGTAAGAGGAGGAATATTTTATCATCATTGAAAGAGGGGAGGGAAGAGGGAGATTTTTTTCGGAAAAAAGAAAACACAGCAAGGTGCAAACCTGCATCTCACTCACGGCGTTTGCGAATTCGAGCATTGCGGACAGGACGTTACGGCGCTGACACGGAAACGAGCATTTCAACAATTTCCTTCATTTTTCTGAGTAGCAGGAGGAAAGGCACCAACAGGCGGGAAAACAACACAGAGAAACAAACCGCCACACACAGCCAGCAACAGCAACTTTGTGTGGACACGAGGATCAGCAGCACGCGGAGAAAGTGCGGAATCATGGGTTATTTGGACGGGAGGGTCCGCAAGGGTGGGAAGCAGAAGAAGAGACGGCGTCGCGGACTATTCAACTTTATTCGGGCGCCTACGCCGACCACGGCACCGGGCTAGCGGCGGCTCTCCCCGGTCAAGCAAGACGAGACGAGACCGTCTACCCTCCATCACGGCATCTCTCGCTCAGTCTTTCCTCTGTCTGCTCATGGTCGGTCAGGTCGTGCATTAGCCGACGTGGCCCGCGTTTGTCTCGGCTCCCGACTTTTATCACCTCCACACACCTACTTCACTCTCACTCTCACTCACACGTGTTGCGATAAAAGCACTCAACGGTTTTCAACCGCAGACACTTGGCAGCATTTTCATCCGGCGATGATTTCATTATGTTCTTGATTTCGGCGTGTTTCTGATTGGAAAGCAAGGGAAAGTGAATTGGAGTTTGGGATAAGGCACCAGCATGTTTTTCATCGTTTGTCCTGCCACCACACGGCGGACTGGGTAACGGGAGTTTGCATACACATCTTTTCTAGTTACTTTTGCTTATGGCCTCTTACAGTCCCCTCCACCCATCACCATTTCGGATGGTGTAGAGGGAAGAGAGCGCAAACAATTTTCCTGTACTTACATACCCACCAATACCTCGTCACAGATTTTTCACCAAACAGATGGATGCACTTTGGCAGCACAGCACAAACGGCGCAGTAGCGCTGATACCAGAAAAAAAGAGATTTGAGAAAACTTAGATACCTACTTTACACTACTTGCGTGTTCACTCCTCATCAAACCCTTGCCTCTTTTAGCGAAAGCTCACGTCTCTCGTGTTCATGTGCCCCGAATGCTTCCCAAAGCGCGGCTTCGTACCTCGCAGAATGTGGGTTTCCGTGATACTTTTCGAGGGATTTCACACTACGGAAGAAAGCGCAGGAAAAGGTTCAAAGTGCGTGCAGTAGCCGACATTCTGCAGCGTTCAACCGCCCTGCACACATACCTTCGCAAGTATACACACGTACATCCACACCCGACGCCATTTCATCTAGCCCACCCAGTAACTCTCCATAGCCGTCCCTCTCCGGAATCCATCCTCGAACATGAGATGACACGGCCAGACACGCCCGGGCCAGAGAGGAACTAGAGCAAAACAGGGTCTCCATATACCGAGCAACACTGACTGGGCAAATTTTACCGCTTTGGTACACGCAACGAGGGTTACATGGTTCGTGAAATAAAGCGTGCTAATTAGGAGGGGATGATTCAAGAGTGGGTTTGGACTAATAGGTACCTTCATGGGCCATTTACCATTCATTGCAAGGCGAGACACGACAGGGCTTGACAGGGAAGAGTGGAGAGGGGCTTTTTTGGTTAGCTCGACCACTACGAACGAAGTACACACACGTCACAGGGTTGGTGCTTGATGTGCTTAGTGCTGTAACGTGTGGGAGGGACCAGAGAGAGGAGCAAGGGTGTGTGTGAGTGAGCGACTGAGAGAGAGTGTGTGTGTGTCTGTCCGTCTGCATGTGTGTACAAGGGGAGGGGAGGCATGTACGCGCGAGGAGGATTGACCGGTGAAGCTGCACTGCAGTGGCCCGCCGTCCTCTCGTTGGTCGTCGTGTTACGAGATGTGCCGAGCAAAGCGTGAGAAAGGCAGACCGAGCTTATGGACAATGGGACCGGTGGGAAATGAGACAAGTCATAGGGGAATCAGGATAGCAAGGTGGTGATGTCGGGCAATTTTGGGTTCTGTTGCGCTGTCCGGGCCTTGTGTTTGACCGTGAGCAAACGGGTCGAATTTGGGTTGCTAAGAAACAAGCGGCGGGCAGTTTTCTTTTGAGCGGGTGGTGATGAAATCAATGGCACACACACCACGCAAACGATACTTGACACTGACGGCCGTCAGCCATCCCTTTGCGGCCCGATGCCGCCCACTCTGGACTGACCGATATTACAGACTAGACGTCCTCGGTGAGGGATCAGGTGTAGAACGAGTGGGAGTGCCAGGGTCCCGGACGAAGGAGCGACTCCCACGGCATCAGATGGGGTTGTTGGCGTGGGGTGAGAGAACGTTTCGTTGGACCCTTTCAGATTTGTCCATTCCGTCACAGAAAAGAAGCCCTCCCTCCCCGTCTATAGATACCGAATCCAGGTTGGCTCGTGGCACGTATTTGGGCATCTAGGGTCCCGCAAGCCACCACGCCTTTCTCGAGCAGTAGCGTGGTGGCTGTTTTTTGGTGCTTCGGAACTTGGAACAGCTCGACCTGCTCGACGTGGGAGAACGTGGGATCAAGAAGGGAGAGGGAGGGGGGTGGGGGCTAGTGGCAGTTAGTATGCACGACGGGGTATACCAGATGGTCATCTGAAGGTGTTTCGAAGTGCCTCCCGCGCGCTGGCCCCCGTCAACGACATTGATGAACGGTGTGAGGTGAGGTTTTGCGTCGTGGGGTGTAAGTGGGCATTGGCGATTTCACGCCAGAGACCAAGTTGGGCACACAGGACCATGGGACAATGGGCTGCCTCTCATTCAAGTAAATGCGGCTGCTGGCAGTTGGGATGCCGTGCATCGAATCGCAGCTCAGCTGATGAGAGAAAATGGGTCGGGCACCGTCCAGCGCAATTGTACAGCAGAGCAGAAGCATTACAGATACGATAATGATATATCTGGCTACACGTCATGTAAGGATACATTTGATGATGCGCTGCGACGCAAATGCGAGAGCCCATCAGGCACGACGGGCCCCTCATTGGCGTACCTGTTGGGCTCTGTGCGACACTGTATGTTGTCTCTGGCGCTCTCGTTAAGCTGTCTTATGAGCCACGGGGCGTTTGGTGCAGGGCCTTCGAAAATGTCTTGGGCGTCGGCATGGCACATCAATGATTCGAGGTACATGTGAGGCGCGCGCGTGTGTCTGCGTGGGATATGTGAGAAGAAGTGTTTAGGGGGGTGAGGGGTGAGAGTCTGTATGTTGTACAGGAAAGTGTGCATGTGAGCTCGCTCACTACGAGTATGAGCATGAGACTGACAGTGAGAGTGAGCCTGAGCATTGAAACATTCGGTATGCCCACTCATGACGATGGGGCATCAACACTAACACACGCTTCGTCCCGATTTCCAGTCTAGTCTCTCGGGACTGTACGAAATACTCGGCCTTTCCAAGATGACCTCTTTCAAGTTGGGTTGTGAACTTCTGGCAGTACACGCCGGTTCGGGCCACTCTAACGGCCTTCAGCCAAGCGACATTGGCAATGAAAGGCTTCATCAGTTGGCCCAACGGCGCCGTCCGGCGTAGCCCGCAGAGGTGAAGCACATGGCACTCAAAGACATGGCAATCTAGCCTAGCCCAAGTTCTAACTGCCACGCCGGGCGATCAATATCGCAACCTGCTCAACTTGGGTGACCGGTGAAGGTGTGGATCTTGTCTCCTCCCTCCGTACAGAGAAGTCTCTCACCCTTTTCATCGTTTGCAGATTGATTCGACGCCAAGCCGGCTACGCTGGATAAATCCGTTGTCAAGCAGCATGCGGGTGTCAAAGAAGCTGCGCGTCGCAGCAAGCAAACGGCTTTTTTTTGGTGCTGCAACTCGGTCGTCATGAGGCATCATCGGCCCCCCAGAGTGAATGAAAGAAAGGGTGGGCCGAAAATGGGGTGTTTGCCATTATTGTAAGACTGTGTGAAGTACATTCATGGTTGTTGGCCAGTTCTTGAGGCCGCATTTTGATTGCATTCGCGCCGGATCAACAGTGCATTGCGCGTCTGTAGGGCAAAAGCTAGTGGCACCTTCTTCGAAAGCTTAGGTAGAACACACTTTTTCGTGTCTTTCCAAGCACACGAGCTCACGTAGCAGTCAAGCACTACCGGATATCGTGGGGTTGAGAGGAGGGTAGGGTGCAACTCAAGATACCCAAACCTGCTGTGTTCCCGTACTTGATGCTCGGTTTCCGCCGGTTGAGCTGAGGAAACTGACTTCCAGACTGCTGAAGCTCTTCACACCCTTCCCGGAGAATGCGCTGCTGCATGGAGCTATGGCCATTGGACGGACAGGGCCGTTGCATCCCATCCCATCCCACATTCACGTCGCAACGGCAGTTAAAAGTAAGATGAGATGCCGGGGTGAGACTGTCATCTTGTCGTCAGAAATTGACCGGTACGGATACAGGCGCAACAAATGAAAAGCTTACATGTCGCAACTCGCAAACACGCAAGCAAAGTGAGTGACTCGGGATGATGAGTGGTTTCGTTCAAAAATTTCAGGGATGTCGTCCTTCATCTGGATGCTTGGGCCGTTGGAAAGAGTTTGTCCCTCAGTCATAGCCTATGGCAACTTAGCCGTGTGTGCAACCGATGAAGACCTCGAGGGGTAACCCTCACAGGCCGAGAATGTCGCATCTGCCCCCCTCTCTCTACCTCTTTCCCCGTGGTGGCCTGCTTGCTCTTCGCGCCTGTCACATATCATATCCCCTAGTAGATCTGAAGGCTGCTTATCTGCCGTCACCAGCCTTCTTGTCACCTTCTCGAAGGGTAAAGCCCCCCCCCCCCCCCAAAAGATGAACAGAGCGTCTCCGGATGCGCCTAATTGCTGAAGATAATTATGATAAGATTAGCCGGGCAAAGTCGATATCATCAGACTGGTGGTATCTTGAGTGGCATGTCGTGACAGCATCTTTCCTCTGACCTGGCCGCGATAACAATCTGCCAAGGGAGAGAGAGTGTGAGATGGTCCTTTGCACCTCGACTGGTTTCGGCGTGTCTCGTCCCGGGCTCTGCATTTGGTGGTTTTGCGCGGAATCCTCCCCATTGAAACGATTCTTGTGGTCGCCCGTCACCTGATTGACTTTGGCTGCACCATCTAGGCCGAAATGCAAACCAGCAAGCCACCCCCGAAAAGGTTGCGACGGGCAAGCTTTCTGGACTGGACACTCGCTCATCGGCATCCCTGGACTTCGTTCCCCCCTCGCCCTCATCCTCACTCTCGACCCCTCCCCTTCTCAAGTTCTCCCCAGCACTCGTTTGATTGACCGGTGCGGGGCCTTTGAAGCACTTGTGTCACTGTGTATTTGAAATGTAGCTCGGTTCAAGGTGGCCGCCAACTCGAGACAGGATTTCTATGGTCCATCATTGCAGACCGCTTATTAGATGGCAAGGCTCTGTCGGTCTGTCCAAGCGTCTAAGACCGCAAACCCACAAACCCCCGCAGATATTCTAACTGGAGAAGAACGATCCCGAGCTGGCTGATCGACCCTTCGTCATATTGTCGTCGTGCCGAGCTTCCTCAACGGTCTGTTGCCTCCGAACCCCAGGTCTCCACTGTTGCCGAAATGTTAGTGGGCAATGCGGTTTTAGTTATCCGACCTACGGATATTTCTGCAAATTTCCAAAGTGACGAGCCAGACAAGCCGCATGTCGCCAGCGACATCCACATCCCGAGACGCCCCGTCGCGCGGTGTTGCAGACAAAACGTTCAGTGGATAGCTATCACTCAAAACGTACCGGGAGCCCCATCTCAATTGGGGGCCACAGTACCCTAGTTGCCGACACATGCGAAAGGATGGGATACCTAGGTGCTAGTTACGGAATAAAGAATTTGAGCTTCATCATGTTTCCGGACTCTGGCTTCTTAGGGGTTGACGTAAGGCCATTCCGACCTTCTTCAGAAGGACTTTACGACCGACCGAGTCTTCGAAGAACCGGGGTCTATATTAGCATCGCTTCGGTCTAAGATATTTGACTTGTCGAAGGATCGTTGATGAGGGGTAGCATGAGAACATGGAGGGTTTCTACTGGCAAAGCTTGCTCACCGAGCCATCCCTCTAATTCCGGGCTGCTCCAAAGCATCCAAAAATTGGACAAGCCAGGCAGGTGTACTGATCCGGGTGAATGTCGGCCACGCTCATTCATGCCCGCTGAACCTGTACGACCGTCAACGAGATGCACCCATCCCAGGAGTAACGAACCTAGCTCTGCACACCCTCCCAAGATGTCCTTCCTAGGTACTCCGTACAGTTTGACGGCGGCTCTGCGAGTTCCAAATCCACAGATGAACGACATTCATTTCTCATCTTCCGTCACCTAACTTCGGTGAGCGATACGCCGCATGTACGCAAAGCTCTTCGAAAGGGAATCGTCTGCTGTAGCCCGGCCATCCCGCGGAAATTTGAGACGGGCAGGCCTTGGTACCGAGCGCGGCGGGCACGGAGCCGTCGCCGCAGATGTTGCCATAGTTCGGCCACCCTGTTGAGTCTGTTATGCAAACGTGCCCCTACAACATCCATCAACAGACAGAAACACGTGACCGGAGCTCGCCCGAGTGTTATGTATCTGTACTTCGGTTACTTCAACTCAGTTAGTCCCTTAAGTCCAGGGCAAGTGTCAATCATGGTCCCCTAACATGGATCGGTCTCCGGGAGGATTTAAGATTCTCACAAGCGCACGGTGGCTCTTCCGGCGACTATGTACACTACTGGCAGCGAAGAAACGGTTCAATTAACAAACGGGAATGCCAGGGGCCATTGCATTGTTGTCTCGTTGCTCCACAATGGCAACTGGAGGTTATTAATATTACCCTGTATCCATATAAGTGTACGTGCGGATAAAGGTCTCGTTTGTGCATTTATACTTCTGCCACTTCATGAGTACCCCAATACTGCGGTTGATGTTCTACCCTTGGAATGGCGCAGCAGCAGCTGAGGCATGGAGATCGGCAATCCGCCAGCAGCAAAGTTGGTGGTAGTCGGTGAGGGAGATGACGTGTCGAACTTGGAAAATGAGCAATACGACCGCCGCGTGCCTCTCAAGTTGACGCTCAGGCGGCCAGGAGGAGGGTCCGGCTGGCGGTGAGACCGAACACGCTATTCACGGTGATGAGAAGAGAGTACCCGTATGACTGAATGCGTGAATAGACCATCCGTATCAGAGCGGTACAATGCCTTTTGAAATCCCCAACTTGGGGAAGCACTACGGAGTACACAAAATGCATCTCAGCATAATGCACAAATGGCACCTGGCTTCCTCGCACCAACGTTGGGCCCCAAATGAACCAGCCATCCAGCCAGATATTGAGGGGCGGTCTGCTCTGCCTCAATTCATCACCAAGCATCAAAGGCTTTGACACTGCTACAGGCAAGCCTTTTCTTATCCCTGCCCAGCGAGCAAATCTCCTCAAACTTTACGGGTCCAATTGAGTATAGCACAGCCGGAACTTTTGCAAGCCTACGCGGTACTCACCCAAATCTGATCCAGGCACGCCAGGGCAGCCGATACGAGTGGGCTCCAACTGACAGCAATCCACCGGGGCTCGACCGCTCGACAGTCGGAGACTCCCGCTCAACCTCATTCACTTTTCATCTCCAACGCCCAAGCGTAACTAATTCTGCTTCATAGAACCCCTCATCCCCGAGGCCTCGACCACTGCTCTTCGTCGCTGAACCGCCATGGCCTCCGTTCCCCCCGGTCATCAAAAACCGCTTTAGGGGCCTTGACTGCCCTGAATTGATGTCTTGCAGCTGTCAGGAGGGTCCTGGATATTGCTGATGTGACTCAAACCCCCCGTTCGACCCGCTCAGAGCACCCTGTCCAATATGCTGATCCTGCCTACTCTGCTAGGGGGGCCGCAACGTCGAGGCCGCACCGAATGCAACGGGGACAAACAACGAGTTTCCTCGTTGCATTCGAGAAACGATCTCCGCAAAGCGACTCGCAGGTGTCATTGCTCATGTGACGAGTTCCGGCCAGGGTGCTACATATAGAGTTTGCACGTTTTGGGTGGGTGTTTGGGCGTCAATCCTGCCACTTGTCTATGGATACGGATATGCCCATTGCCCCCGTCCTCCACTTTCCAGATTGAAGGGAGCTTTTGAAAAGGGCCGTACTGGGTCTCCCAGCCCTGCCAGACTCCTCCTATCTTTGACACGTCCGGAAGGATATTCAATAGAGGCGCCCCTGGCTAAGGACGAATGTATTCGTACATGCAAAGTAACCGTACAGCCCAAATATCGTGACCTTGCACAGTGCTCAAGAACAATGGACAAGGATCAGGTGTATCAGCTTCCACCTCACTCTCGCAGGCTTTGATATTCAACGTGGCTTACCGTCAAGTACTGAAGGTGTTTATTACTGCCTGAAGGAAAAGGGTCGACAGGTGAGGGTTATTTTTTTCAATGCGTGGGCCTGCAGCTGTCATGGAATCCCAATCCCGATTCCCCAGCGTGAAAGGCCCTTGAAACCCAAATCATGCAGCCTGTCTCATAGCCGAAGAGTAAATTTTGCCCGGACGGCGAGCCGGACCGACCGGCGCATCCAGCTCTAGAGCACGGGGCCGAAATGGAACAACACCCCGCTCCGCCAGCGGCATCGTGAATGGAGAAATAGTGTAAAGGACACGACTTTGCGCAAGAGCAAGACCGACATCGTGTTGATACTGTTTCACACGTACATTGCTTTATGTATCCATAGATTTTGTTAATTGGACATCGTCGAGCTGGGTCCGCTTTCTGACCAAACTTGCTAGGGCATCTGAATTGCAGGTCATTCATGAGATACAGCAGTTGGGTTCCTCTCCAGTCTCTTATCTGGGACGACCGCCCATGACTATCTGT